ATCCCATGGAACAACTCGGATTGCACAGATTCTCAAAACCCAAACAGCCCCTTATCCCGAACCAGCTGCTGCCAAACCCTACTCTCTCTCTTCGGCATAGCCCTCTCCAAATACCTCCAAAGATCCTCCCTTTTTCAGCTCCCAAACCTGCCCACCTCAATTTCTTGCCTCCAACGTTTCCAATCCAAGCTCGATACCCTCTCGCTCGCCCCCAATTTGACCTCTCTCTGCTTCGATCCCCTGCAATTCGCGGCATCCCCAAACATATGCGCCGCGATTCAGACCACCGACGACTGGGTGCGGACGGTCGGGAACTCGACCGCCTTGGATTCGTCGTGTCGGTCGGATTTGACCGTCCCCACCTCGTGCGACGCCTGCGTCGCCGCCGGATTCAGGGTTCAGTCCCAGCTGATCGCCGTCGACGGCAACCGCTCGCACGCCATCGACTGCTTCTATTTCTCCGTTCTGTACGCTGCTGGGGTCGTGAACGATTACGGGCCGGAGAGCGCCGGCGCCATCTCGTGCATTTTCGGGCTCTCAATCAGGCCCGAAAGAGGGTCGTCAGGGAATCGGGCCCCCGCTTTCGTTTTCGGGATGATTGGAGCCGGGTTGGCGGTTTTTGTGGTCTGTGCTGTGTTGGGACTGTTTGTGTGGTGGAGTAGGAAATGTAGGAAAAGGGATCATGTAGAAGATGAGAATCGAGAGTTCGGGCCCGGTCCGAGAAGGCCTGCCACGGTCTCCATATGGTACAAGATCCAAGAACTCGAGAAAGCAACCGATAATTTCTCATCTCGAAATTTCATCGGGCGGGGCGGTTTTGGGCTCGTTTACAAAGGGTCGTTGCCTGATGGGTCGGTAATTGCCGTGAAAAGGGTCATCGAGTCCGATTTCCAAGGGAATGCCGAGTTTTGCAACGAGGTCGAGATCATCAGCAACCTCAAGCACCGAAGCCTCGTCCCTCTTAGGGGTTGTTGCGTGGACGACGATGCCTGCGGGCCCGACGGGCCTTCGAGGTACCTCGTTTACGATTACATGCCGAACGGGAACCTCGAGAACCGTCTATTCCCGCTTTCCGAAAACGGAAAAAAACGAACGCATTTATCATGGCTCGAGAGGAAGAGCATAATCATGGATGTGGCTCGCGGGTTGGCCTACCTACACTACGGGGTCCGGCCCGCCATCTACCACAGGGACATCAAGCCCACCAACATTCTTCTCGACGGGGACATGCGGGCCCGGGTCGCGGACTTCGGGCTGGCCCGGATGAGCCGGGAGGGCCAATCCCACATGACGACCCGGGTCGCCGGAACCCATGGTTACCTGGCGCCCGAGTACGCGCTATACGGGCAGCTGACGGAGAAGAGCGATGTCTACAGCTTCGGGGTCGTTGTTTTGGAGATCATGTGCGGGCGGAAGGCGTTGGACTTGAGTTCAGGCCCAGCCCGATCATTCCTAATCACGGACTGGGCCTGGGCTCACGTGAAGGCGGGCCAAATGGAGAAGGTTTTGGATGCCCGTCTTTTGGAGGGTCGAGAGAATCCGAGGGGGTTGATGGAGAGGTTCGTTCTCGTAGGTATTTTGTCCGCGCACGTGATGGTAGCCTTGAGGCCCACGATTGTGGACGTGGTGAAGATGTTGGAGGGCGATTTGGAGATTCCGGTGGTCCCCGACAGGCCGGGCCCGCTGGCCCATCCTTCGTTGTACGGAGGGGGTAACGGTAGTAGTGAAAACGGTTGTGACGGGTTTAGTTGGGAAGTTTGAAGCTCACAAGTCACAATACTTGGGCAGTCAAAATGCAATCATATCTCTTTCCCAAGAAATTATAAGTGGCAATTCTAACAAAATAAAAATATTAGGGTTGTATTTGTTTGAGAATTCTATTTTTTTTTTTTTTTTTT